AGTATGGAGGTTCCTCAAAAAGTTGAAAATAGAGCTACCATATGATCCAGCAATTGCACTACTGGGTATTTACCCCAAAGATACAAATGTAGTTGAAAAGTTGAAAATGGAGCTACCCTACAACCCAGCAATTGCACTACTGGGTATTTACCCCAAAGATAAATATGTAGTGATCTGAAGGGGCACCTGCACCCCAATGTTTATAGCAGCAATGTCCACAATAGCCAAACTATGGAAAGAGCCTAGATGTCCATCAACAGATGAATGAATAAAGAAGATATGGTATATGTATACAATGGAATATTATGCAGCCATCAAAAAATGAAATTTTGCCATTTGCAGTGATGGATGGAACTAGAGGGTATTATGCTAAGTGAAATAACTCAATCAGAGAAAGACAATTATCATATGATCTCACTGATACGTGGAATTTGAGAAACAAGACAGAGGATCACAGGCGAACGGAGGGAAAAATGAAACAAGACAAAAGCAGAGAGGGAGACAAACCATAAGAGACTCTTAATCTCAGGAAACAAACTGAGGGTTGCTGGAGCGGAGGGGGATGGGAGGAATGGGGTGGCTGGGTGATGGACATTGAGGAGGGTATGTGCTATGGTGAGCGCTATGAATTATGTAAGACTGATGAATCACAGACCTGTACCCCTGAAATAAATAATACATTATATGTTAATAAAAAAAAAAAGAATGAAATCTTGCCATTTGTGACAACACAGATAGACCCAGAGGGTATTACGCTAAGTGAAATAAGTCAGACAAAGACAAATATTGTATGATTTCACTTAAATGTGGAATCTTAAAAACAAACAAACAAACAAATAAATGAACAAACAAACAGAAAAAACAGAATCAGACCTATAAATACCAAGAATGAACTGATGGTTCATTCATAGCAGGGAGAGGAAATGGGGAGGGGCAAAATGGGTGAAGGGGAAGGGGTGGAATGGGCTTCCACTTATGGAATGTATAAGTTAGGGGGGCGAAAGGCACAGCACAGGGCCCACAGTCAATGGCACTATAATATATGTGCTGTATGGTGACCGATGGCAGCTACACTTGTGGTGAGCACAGCATAAGGCACAGAATTGTTGAATCACTATGTCGTACACCTGAAACTAACATAACAGTGTGTGTCAGCTCTACCTCCATAAAAGAAAAAAATGAAAAGGCAAACTCTGGGAGTAGATATTTGTAATACAAATAACAAGAAAAAGAACTCAAATCTATTATATGAGTAAAAATTCTATCAATCAGTAAAGAAAAGACAGAGATAACCCAATAGAAAAAATGGGTATTAACCAACAGTTCACAAAAGATGATATTCAAATGGCCAACAGACCCATGAAAATGTGCTCAATGAGTGATCTCTGATACCTTTCAGAATGGTCAAAATGAAAAAGACTGAGTCTTGGTGAAGATGTGGAACAACCAGAAATCTCACTCACTGCATATGGCAGCATAAACAGTCACTTTGGGGGAAAAACTAGCAGGGGGTAGAGGAGTTATTACCCACTAAAGGAGAAAAAAAGAGATATTTTAACCAAATGCAGTGTTTGAATTCCGATTCAAATAAACCAAATGTAAACTGACTTTTTTTTAACAAATGGAGGAAAATCAGACGTGGATCAATATTAGTTAATATTAATTAATATTAATTAATGTTAATATTCCTGGGTGTGATCATGGTTAGTTTTTTTTTAAGATTTTTATTTATTTATTTGCCAGAGAGAGAGAGTGGCAGGCAGAGGGAGAGGGAGAAGCAGGCACCCCGCGGAGCAGGGAGCCCATGCGGGACTGGATCCCAGGACCCTGGAATCACAACCTGATCTGAAGGCAGATGCTTAACTGACTGAGCCACCCAGGCATCCCGATAATGGTTATTTTGTAAAAGTGCTTACCTGTTAGAGATACATACTGAAGTATTAACTAAAGAATGACCCAATGTCTAGGCTTTTCCTTAAAACACTTGCAGTGTATGCATGTGTACATAGACCCACACACAAAGAAGTTGTGGGAGTGATATATGAAACCAGATTTGCAGAAAGCAGATAATTACTGAAGGTGGGTGATGGGCACACAAGGGTTTATTACAGTCTTTTCTCTAATTTTGTATATGGCTTTAATTCCATGAATGACTTCAAAACATAAGGAAGCTGATGAAGGGCGAGCTGGAAAGAAATAAGATTTTTACCTCATAAACCGGCCCAATTTCATAATCTGTGAAAAATCCGATTGATGGTTTAGCTAGAAACACTGGAGTATCAGCACAGCTGTGAGAGGGCAAATGAGGGGAGAAAGGCTGTTAGTTTCACCCATGTGATTTGTGCAAAATAAATACACCCAAACTGCCAAAGATAATCACAATATGTCATTTACTGGGTTTTGTTCCTATTGTTAAAGCAGGCAACAAAATAATTTTACCGTACGATAGAATCTTCGTGAAGATATGTGCAGCTGTGTGGTTCATTTTCAATATGCATATAGGAAGCTTCCACTCTGGAAGCTTCTACACCAGTATCATGACTGGGTTTTTTATATAGGTGCTGTGTTTCTTTGCATATATTAGTCCAATTTTTCTTAATAAAAAAGATATCATTTGACTAATAAGTGTTAATCATTTTAAGTCCCCTATGAACTATGAACCCATGAAACCATTCATTCCCTTCATAAGGACAATTAATAAAATAAGCCAAAGGCACTCTGAAAAAAAATCACAATTTATATGTATTATTTGCAATTAATCAAATTTTAAATATTTTTATTTTTAGGGTCATATTCCAAGACATATGAGTGCAAGGGAAGAGAACATGGCTACAGACCAAGACTGTCAGATGAAAGCAGGGGACCAGCACTAACCCCCGATCCCTCAAAACCCCGGCAGGTCAGAAAAGCACAAACCCAGGCTTCTGGGGGATGTCCAAAGGCCAGGTCTGTGGGGAGCCCTGAAGACCTGCTCTGTTCTGATACTGACATCCCATTCTCCCACCTCCCCAGAAAGTCCAGACCAGACCCAGGACCTTCTGGGTTTACTCCCACACGTCCAACTTTCTGATAAGTCCAAGACAAGGAAAGACCCACCTCTGCTTCAAATCTCCACCCTGGAAATCTCCTGTCAGTACTGGCTTCTTCGGAGGAAAGAGAAGAGACTTGCCTCCATAGGGAGTGTTAGGAGGGAAAAACCGAGGGTTTTTTAGGAAGTGGTTCCGACTCTCCATTCTGGCAAGCAGAAGTCGCTCCAGTTCCCTCTGAGGCACGTGTAAGTGGCTCATCCACTTTTTATTCTTGGTTGGACCTGCCTTCTTTGAAACACAAATAAATAGAGTCCATGACAGGCCGGGGGACTGTGTGTGCTGACATTGGGCCAACTGCATGACCCCCCGGTAAGCAACGCAATCTCTCCTATTTCGCTGCAGACCCGCAACTTCCTGTGTCACCGGGAACTCCTTCCCCTCGACGGCTCCCTGTGCCCACTGTCCCCACACACCACCGAGCACGGGCTTCCACACCAACCTTGACGGCCTTGCGCTTGGCCTTTGAACACAAGTCCCCCGTCAGGCTGTCCACAGTGTAGTCTAACTCGTCCTGAGACTTAATGAGCGTCTTCTTGCAGGAAGCCTCAAGCTTCTTGGCCAGGTGCTTCTTGGGGACGGACCGCTTCTCACAACTGAATGTGAGTTTTGAACATCCGGGGACGGAGACACCTACGGCACCAAGGAATCAAACTGAGCTGCCACAGACTGCAGTGGCCGTTTCTAAGATGACTATAAAACCACCAAGACCACAGTTAGCTTGGTACCTTCCCTTCAACTGTCACATTCACTACACTAGACATAACTGCTCTTTAACGTATAAAGTACTCCTGGAACTTATACTGTGTACTTGAGACTTAGGACTAGAGTGTTACATATTTGTTTGATTGTCGAACATGGCCAAAGAACATGAGTAGACTACTGTCTGTCTGTCTCACGCATTCCCCATATGTAAACTTGCTTTTCAAAAAGCTCACAGGAGGAATCAAAGTTTGTATTAGCTTTTTACGCCTCTAAGATCATCCCCAGAAGGTTAAAGGAGAACACCCATTGCTAGCGAGAACTGGTACCAGTACAGTACCTGGTAAATCCCCAGTGCATGTTAACTCTACCCTCACCTATCTGCAGAAGGTGAATTCCCAACTAACTTCGCACTAGTAAGTGGCTTAGTATCACGCGACGCTTACTTCTGCTCCCTCTCTCTGGCCTGCCCTCTCTACACAGCTCAGGCTGTCAATGGAACTCTGTTCTCCTGAGCACCCTCAATTCTCTGGATCCCAGTCTTCCCACCCCAAATGCCTTCTTAGCTCCAAAGCCTCAGAGGTCATCAAAGTCCCACTGACTGGGGTGCCTGGAGAGCTCATCTTCCAAACCTGGCACCACTGGGCCATCCGGATATGTGCCCAATGGATCCACAGAGCAACTTCTCCCTATCTGTACAGACTCTGCCAAAAGTCTACCTCCCTGCTTAAACCCACAATCCAGCTCCCACCCCACTCACTCTCAGAAGATCCTGCCTCCTGCATCACAGGAAACTGGCCCGACATCACACATACGAATACACATCCTTCTCTGCCTCCCTATCCAGTCTGCCCACCAAACTCAAAGAAGGTACAGTTGCTCTTTTCCTACGTGGGGTATGCAAGAACCCCACGGTCCATGTTCTGGCTGCAGCAGGAAATTGCTCCTTTATCTATCTTCAGTCCCTCCCTCTCTTGGGTCATTCAACTACTTTTCTAAGCATTTTCATCTCTCTTGGTGTTGAACAGCTGACAAGGGCGCAAATTCCACGTGGAGGAGTTGAGACTTTTGTCTTGCAGGTGTTAGGGAGTCAGAGAGGAAGTGGCATGCTTAGAGCTGACCCTCCTAAGAGTCACTATCAAAATTAAAAAAAAGGGGAAAAAAATCAATGAGGAAATGGCAGCAAAGGTGGCCACAGTGGTCGCGTTCCTAAAGAACTTCCCGAGAATGAGAGCAGAGGCCCCAGCAGAGACAGAAGCCTTACCTTTAGGTGCAGAGCAAAATGGCACTCTGTCACTGTAGTAATCATCCGGGCAGATCAAATGGTGTTTCTGTAGCAACTCACTGTCTACACACCATCTGAACATAGTCTTTGCTACATAGAAGGGAAGAAGGACAAAGGTGTTTGAAGCCAAACTGACGTTAAAGAACCTGCACCCCAAACTTTTTCATCCTCCAAATCTAAACCATCTTACAAAATTCTTTCCAAGGACCAAGAACAAATTTATAATGACATGCATGTGGTCATTTCGAGATTTCAGAAATTAATCAGCAAATGTTGACCAGCCACTTCACAGAGGCCAACCATTAGTCAGGGCTGTGCTGTGGTCTTATTTGAGCTAAAATACTGTGTGACTCAAGGAAAGGTCTATTAATAAAATATAATTAAGGACAGTATGGTAGATTAAAGAAATGGCCCCAATCCTTCACCCTTCTCTGTATCCACACCCTTTGCCATAGGACTTTGCAGTTCCTTCTACTAGAGACAGAGTGCACGCCTTTGCCCTTGACTTTGGCCATGTGATGTGCTTTGGCCAATGAGATGTTGGCAGGGGTTTGCACAGCTGAGCCTTCTCTCTTGTGCCTTTGCCATCCTCATGAGAGAACTTCCCTGCCCCTGAGAAGAGTTCCTGCCTCTTTATCTTGGACTCCAGCATGAATCCATGTGGAGCAGACTTGAGCCTAATTTGTAACAAGGAGGCAAGTTCAGCTGGGCCCACAGCTTAAAGCTGGTCTAGCCAGCCAAGCCCAGGTAGATCAGCCAACCCCCAACAGATCCACTGACACATGAGAGAGAAAATCTCCTTTAATAGAGTGAGAAGTTAGTCATTAATATCCATGGCTTATGAGCCAAGGAAAAATAGGAGAGACATATTATTTAGAGGTATCCAGAAGAAGTAAAGCTAAAAATGGCTACCTTTGGCAGGTGGGCTGAGATTGGGAGAGGTGACGTGGAGGATTTTTTTCAATAGACTTTATTTTTTATTTTATTTTATTTTATTTTTTAAAGATTTTACTTATTTCTTTGTCAGAGAGAGAGAGAGAATGAGCACAAGCAGGGGGAGGCAGGCAGACGGAGAAGCAGGCTCCCTGCTGAGCAAGGAGCCCGATGCAGGACTCGATCCCAGGACTCTGGGATCACGACCTGAGCCAAAGGCAGACGTTTAACCGACTGAGCCACTCAGGCGTCCCTAGACTTTATTTCTTAGAGCACTTTTTGGTTCATAGAAAAATTGGGTGGAAAAGAGATGTCCCATGGAGCCCCTGGCCCCACACATGCACAGCCACCCCCACCATCAACACACCTCACCAGAGTGGTACATCTGTTCCAACTGATGATCCCACACTGACACACTGTTGTCATACAGAGTCCATACTTTACATTACAGTTCACTCTTGGTGTTGGAGATCTATGGGTTTGGACAACTTTATAATGACATGCATGGGTAGAGGCTTTTTATATTTCATTAGAAGCTTTTCTAAACTATTTGATTTTTTTAAAACCATGAATATTAACACTGTGATAAAAACTCAGGAATAAGTAAGATGAATGGAAGACTCAGGAAGTTTTCAAACTTCGTTGCTTGCTCCATTAATCAACATGGCCTTGCCCTTCAGAGGTTTCCTATAACCAAGGGTGAGACAAACGAAGAATAAATGTTTCTCCCATAATATTTATTAATTTAGGAATTTCAAGGTTTGGCTTAGTTCCTTTTATAGTCAGGGTTCAGCGAGGAAAACAGAAATCACTCTCTGTATGTCATATATAAAGGGGCTGAATGCAGGGGACTATGGAATGGGAGATCGAAGGTCAGGGAGACTATCACTACCAACTTAAGACAGCAGCACTGAGGGAGGGGCTTCTCAAGAAGTTATCTGGAAGCTGCTGTGAAACTCAGAGCTGCTCAGTCATCTGCCTGCTACTGCTTCTGGAGAATAGTGACCTCCTCCTCCTCCAAAACTCACCAAGAGCCTTTCATGAGTGACCTAACATGGAACCATGGGGAAAAGTTGCATTCTGGGAAATGCCTCGCCTCTCCTTTGCAATACAGAGACCTCAGCAGGGGGTGGCAGGAATGCCAAGTTCTGTTCCAGCCCAGTTCCCAAGGACTTTGGTGACGGCCTATTTGAAATATTACAAGATAAAACTTCCACACAAAGGGCAGGGGCCATGTGAGAAGATGTAGCCTCTCTCTTCTTTTTTTTTTTTAAGATTTTATTTATTTATTTGAGAGAGAGAGAATGAGAGACAGAGAGCACGAGAGGGAAGAGGGTGAGAGGGAAGAGGGTGAGAGGGGGAAGCAGACCCCCTGCTGAGCAGGGAGCCCGACGCGGGACTCGATCTCGGGACTCCAGGATCATGACCTGAGCCGAAGGCAGTCGCCCAACCAACTGAGCCACCCAGGCGCCCAGCCTCTCTCTTCTGATACCCTTGTCTCCGCAGTCCTCCTCCAGGCTGTGGACAGTTAGGTGTTACGTCTGCAGAAGCAGGGGGCAGGTTGTGTGTCAGCTCTTTGGAAAGTCCCTCTCCATGTCCGGCCTGGAACACCCCTCACTGGCCTTGTGAGCATCCTCCTCCACCCGGGAAGAGTGGGCTTCCTGCACCGACCCTATGCTCCTGCACCTGGCTCTGTTCCACTCCCCAAGAGATAATGTGGACAATTTATCAGCAACAGAAGGGAATGAAAGCACAAAATGTTTGATCTTCCCCCTCTGTCTGGAGAATTTACATATGTTTTCCACTTTGTGACATTTGTTTTTTGGTTTTTTTTTTAAAGATTTTATTTATTTATTTGACAGAGAGAGACAGTGAGAGAGGGAACACAAGCAGGCAGAGTGGGAGAGGGAGAAGCAGGCTCCCCGCTGAACAGAGAGCCCGATGCGGGGCTCTATCCCAGGACCCTGGGATCATGACCTGAGCCGAAGGCAGACGCTTAACACTGAGCCACCCAGGCTCCCCCACTTTGTGACATTTGTATTAGCAAACAGAGAAAGGCTGCCTCTGTGCCTCAAATAAGAAAAGTTTCAGAGGCATGTCCTCCCCACCAATCATCTAAGGTATAAAGAAGTTTCTTGGGTCACCTCGCCCTTTTCCCCCAACCAGAAGCAGGAACCAGAGGGATGTCTGTGGAACTGCATCAAGATCTCTACTTCTGCTACTTTTGAAATAAAAGAGAAACGTTACCAGAAGGCTGAGAAACCAGGGCAGATAATGTCTGATTATAACAACATTATCTTGGGTAAAAAGACAAAATGAAGGTCATTGAAAAACTCCCCTGACTCGGGTTTGTTTCTCAGTTCGCAGTGTTTTATTTCACTTTCATTTAAAAACAACCAATTATTTCATCCCCCTTGATCTCTAGCCAATAGAATCCTAGGAACAGTGTTGGACTCCCGGGATTCGGGGGACAACAGGCAACCAATAATAGCTCCCGAGAATCTGCTACCAACAATCTCTGCCAAATCCACAATGGAGCGAGGGTCCTGGCAGCTACATGACTCTGCTCTGGAGGCGGAGGAACAGGAGATACGGAATACAACTGAATGTTCACTGTCTGCTGTGCTGAGCCTCTGAGGTGGCAGGCCTGACCAAGTCCAGGGCCTCGCGCCCAGAGCCACGCCCTGTGGGAAGTCACCGACACCTGTGTGACACCCTGCCTGGTCTGGTCAACAATCCTTCCTCCCGCTCCTGGTAGAAGAGAGGCGGGCTCTGACAGCAGACTCACTCAAGTCCAAACCTGGCTCCCAGCTCTTCTGTGTTGTGGGAATTTAGGGAAGTCATTTGATCCTTTCTCTCAGTTTCCTGCAGCTATAAAATGGAGAGAAAACCTACCTCACAGGTTGTTGGAAGGGTTCAGTGGGATAACCCATACAAAGCATCTTGCATAGCATCTGGTCCCTAGTAGGACCCCATAAGTCTAATGCCTTTCCAAGCCAATACACCTTCCGCTTCTCCTTCCCTCGGGGCCACAGATACGCTGGGTCTCCTGACCCTAAAAGCACAGTCCCCACTGCCTATTGCACTGGAAAATGATGACTTTCAGAGATGCAGGAGGATAGATCAAAGTCTTTGGGGACAATAAAAGGAACCAGGCCTTCTTGGAGAAATGGCTGATTCCAGGTCTGGGGCAATAAGATAAGCCTGGAACATTTGACCATTCCAGGAAATAAGGAAGTTATCAAAGACAACTGCTATTGTATCAAAAGAGTTAGGAGAGAACTTGAAAAGGCTCTAACTGGCCAAAGACGGGACAACTTGAGCATTAATAAAGATCATAAATAGAACTGTAGTTATGAAATCCATGAGTTCATAATGATACTGAAAATCAACCAACAAACCTCTTTGGTCACCTTTGGAAGATGCTAGGGGAACGAACTCATTATTTTTTTTTTAAAGATTTTATTTGACAGAGAGAGAGAGACAGAGAGAGAGGGAACACAAGCAGGGGGAGTGGGAGAGGGAGAAGCAGGCTTCCTGCAGAGCAGGGAGCCCGATGTGGGGCTCGATCCCAGGACCCTGGGATCATGACCTGAGCTGAAGGCAGACGCTTAACGACTGAGCCACCCAGGTGCCCCCAAACTCATTATTTTAAAAACTGGCAAATAGGGGTACCTGGGTGGCTCAGTCGGTTAAACGTCTGCCTTCGGCTCAGGTCATGATCCCAGAGTCCTGGGATCGAGCCCCGCATCAGGCTTCTCCTCAGTGGGGTGTCTGCTTCTCCTTCCCCCTCTGCCTGCCATGCCCCCTGTTTGTGCTCTCTCTCTCTGTCAAATAAATAAATAAAATATTTTAAAAATAATAAAAATAATAAAAATAAAAACCGGCAAATAAGGGGAAAGAATTAATCCTGCCCATTCATACCTTGGGGTTATCATAGTAGTAGCTGAAAAGTTTCTCTTTATGGAAGTACCAGTACCATTAGCATTTTGTCCTAATTTACAACCCCTAATGAAATAATAGATCCAGGCAAAGGCCACCAGCATCATGGAGGGAGAGACATCAGACATCACAGACCTCCTGAAGACAGCACACAGCACAACCTATGAAGTGGTCTTGCCCCTTGCTCCACAAAAAAACTGAGCCTAAACCT